GGCTAAGTAACCCACACTTAAATTCTTTGTTTTACCATAATTCACAGACAGCCAAGGCTAAGTAACCTACCCTAAATTCTTTGTTTTACCATAATTCACCTGACAGCCAAGGCTAAGTAACTCACACTTAAATTCTTTGTTTTACCATAATTCACCTGACAGCCAAGGCTAAGTAACCCACACTTAAATTCTTTGTTTTACCATAATTCACAGACAGCCAAGGCTAAGTAACCTACCCTAAATTCTTTGTTTTACCATAATTCACCTGACAGCCAAGGCTAAGTAACTCACACTTAAATTCTTTGTTTTACCATAATTCACCTGACAGCCAAGGCTAAGTAACCTACCCTAAATTCTTTGTTTTACCATAATTCACCTGACAGCCAAGGTTAAGTAACCCACACTTAAATTCTTTGTTTTACCATAATTCACCTGACAGCCAAGGCTAAGTAACCCACACTTAAATTCTTTGTTTTACCATAATTCACCTGACAGCCAAGGCTAAGTAACCCACACTTAAATTCTTTGTTTTACCATAATTCACAGACAGCCAAGGCTAAGTAACCTACCCTAAATTCCAAGATCCTACCATAATTCACCTGACAGCCCAGGTTTAGTGATTCACACCTAATTTCTGTGTTCCTACCATGATTTACTGATAAAGTGTGGTATATGTCCGTCTGTTGTCTTGATCTGTCTAGTGATGTCGTCCCTGGTCTTATGCCATATATATCTGTCAATAAGTGTCTAGATCTGTCAACTGTCTGTTGGTGTCTAGATATGTCCAGTGTCATCCCTGGTCTTAATCCTGATAAACTACAATATTTAACTGTCTAATGGTATCAAGATATGTCTACTGTCTAGTGAATCGTTTTATAAATGGTAAACTGTCGTATTTGTCTGTTGGTGCCTCAATTTTATCTAGTGATGTATAGGCCTTGGACTATGGTAAATATATCTATCTGTTGGTGTCTATATACGTCTACTGTCTACTCCCTGATCTTACAACTGGTAGACTGTACTCCAGGTTTGATATACTGTCTTACTCCTGTAACAGTAGGCTAAACTCCAGCCTTGATATACTGTCTTACTCCTGTAACAGTAGGCTGTACTCCAGGTCTGATATACTGTCTTACTCCTGTAAAAGTAGGCTGTACTCCAGGTCTGATATACTGTCTTACTCCTGTAACAGTAGGCTGTACTCCAGGTCTGATATACTGTCTTACTCCTGTAACAGTAGGCTGTACTCCAGGTTTGATATACTGTCTTACTCCTGTAACAGTAGGCTGTACTCCAGGTCTGATATACTGTCTTACTCCTGTAACAGTAGGTTGTACTCCAGGTCTGATATACTGTCTTACTCCTGTAACAGTAGGCTGTACTCCAGGACAGTAGGCTGTACTCCAGGTCTGATATACTGTCTTACTCTTGTAACAGTAGGCTGTACTCCAGGTCTGATATACTGTCTTACTCCTGTAACAGTAGGCTGTACTCCAGGTCTGATATACTGTCTTACTCCTGTAACAGTAGGCTGTACTCCAGGTCTGATATACTGTCTTACTCCTGTAACAGTAGGCTGTACTCCAGGACAGTAGGCTGTACTCCAGGTCTGATATACTGTCTTACTCCTGTAACAGTAGGCTGTACTCCAGGTCTGATATACTGTCTTACTCCTGTAACAGTAGGCTGTACTCCAGGTTTGATAAACTGTCTAGACATGTTCATCTGATTTATCCATCAGATGCTTATTTGATTAAACATATATATATATATATATTAATACTAATGAATCACTTTTCATGATAAACAACTTTATGATATTTCTGTCATGCAGTCAGCAACTGCAAGTGTTTGATATATGCATAAATTATAATAGGTCAGTTTGCATGATACCAGTAAATCTTCTGACTTACCCATTGAGTGTAAACAGGTGATTAAAGGCCTTTGATTTTAGGTTAAGTAAAACAAGCAGTCAGTCTGGTAGGCAACTTACTCCTGTCAAGAAAGGAAGACTCAGCTTGGCTATGTATTTTAATTTACCTGACTTTTTAGGTCACCTGAGACAAACTTTCATGGTGATCTATTCTAATACCCTTTATCCAGTGTAGTGCATCTTTAAACAATTTCACACTTTCGACTTCTTCTCAAAAATCCTTGATCTGATTTCAATGAAATTTTGCAGAATACTTCCATGGCCTAAGATGAATCAAAATTGTGAATTATATAGTCCCTACCCACCCCCACTCCCCTCCCCTGAGAGGCAGGGCAAAAAAGGATCAAATTGACTCGGATTTCAAAAATCTTCTTCTCAAGATCCAGATATTGTAAAATCAAATACCCTTTATGGATGGAAGCATCTTCAGGTGCTTTACCAAAATTATGAATTTCATGGCCCAAGGGTCTCACATTTCCCCGGGGGGAGGGGGTAAAGTTTACTATAGGTTAGAACTACAATACAAGTGAAGAAATAGAGCCAGATGGTATGCCCATTTTGATCCTGACTGACTCCCAGGGACTGATAGGTGGGGCCAAAATGGGTTAAATTGACTCAAGTTTTAAAAGTCTCCTTCTCAAGACCCAGATATGGTATAATCAAATGCTCTTCATGAATGGAAGCATCTTAAGGTGCTTTAATAACCAAAGTCTCACATTTCTTCCTGAAGAGGAATATTATTTTAGACTTTTCTGTAATTTTCGTAGAAAAATTGCATTTTTGAGCATAACATTTGTTATTTCTCACAGGATATAATTTTATAAGAATTATCAGTATGGAATGACAGTTTTGATGGTATGCATGTGTTAACAATGGCTTTCTATATTTAGTGTCACAATTTCTGTTTCGTGACACTAGATAACTATCTTTTAACTTTTATATTCAATAGTGCTTGTCTCAGGTGAAAGTCAAGGCCGCTAGGCCTCTTGTACAATTATGATGCCCAATGACCAGGAGGTACCAAGATCTTAAATTAACTTGAGATATCGAGATTAATGTCATTGACATCATGGTACTAAGATCTTCATTGACTTTGAGTTATGAATACGGATGGCTTTGAGTTATTGTTCTGCCTTGTCAATCAATCATTACTTCCTATAATCTTGAAGCCATTGTAATTCCCAGTGACCTTGTCGTAACAACAATCTTGAGTAACCTTCATGAAACATCCTCAGTGAGGAATGTGATATCCTTTAATACCTGGTAATTTGTAGTTAGTAAAGGTTCTCTAGATCCCCAGGTAACTAGCCTTGAGCTATAATAAATTATACCATGACCTTCAGATATCTGTAAGGTTCTCTAGATCCCCAGGTAACTAGCCTTGAGCAATAACAAATTATACCATGACCTTCAGATATCTATGGTTCTCTAGATCCCCAGGTAACTAGCTTTGAGCTATAATAAATTATACCATGACCTTCAGATATCTGTAAGGTTCTCTTGACCACCAGGTAACTAGCCTTGAAATATATCAAATTATAACATGACCTTCAGATATCTATGGTTCTCTATATCCCCAGGTAAATAGCTTTGAGCTATAATAAATTATACCATGACCTTCAGATATCTATGGTTCTCTATATCCCCAGGTAACTAGCCTTGAGCTATAATGAATTATACCATGACCTTCAGATATCTGTATGGTTCTCTAGATCCCCAGGTAACTAGCCTTGAGCAATAACAAATTATACAATGACCTTCAGATATCTGTATGGTTCTCTAGATCCCCAGGTAACTAGCCTTGAGCAATAACAAATTATACCATGACCTTCAGATATCTGTATGGTTCTCTTGACCACCAGGTAAATAGCCTTGAGATATAACAAATTATACCATGACCTTCAGATATCTGTATGGTTCTCTTGACCACCAGGTAACTAGCCTTGAGATATAACAAATTATACCATGACCTTCAGATATCTATGGTTCTCTATATCCCCAGGTAAATAGCCTTGAGATATAACAAATTATACCATGACCTTCAGATATCTGTAAGGTTCTCTTGACCACCAGGTAAATAGCCTTGAGATATAACAAATTATACCATGACCTTCAGATATCTGTAAGGTTCTCTTGACCACCAGGTAAATAGCCTTGAGATATAACAAATTATACCATGACCTTCAGATATTTGTAAGGTTCTCTTGACCACCAGGTAAATAGCCTTGAGATATAACAAATTATACCATGACCTTCAGATATTTGAGAGGTAAATAGCCTTGAGATATAACAAATTATACCATGACCTTCAGATATCTATAAGGATCTGCAGTATCCTTGATATACTGTTGTGGTAACAACCTTCAAATATTTGTGATCAAATAACTGATGTTTATGGTAATCCTTGTAAAGTAAATAACTACTGTCTTCATTGACTGGCTACTTAAACTGTGTTTACTAGATCACTGTGTGAATATTTAGCATTCTACAAGATACAGAGAGGCAGTACACAGTGAGTACTTGTAGACCCCTATATATACCTCGTCTTTATTATCACATACCAGGTCAACAAGGTAGCAGCCAATTAGCCAAGAATTAGTCAAAACAAGTGCTTGTTACAGCGACAAGTCTTACAGGTCCAACATGGTGCAGAGATTATTGTAAATCTAGGTCCTAATGCTGGTCTGCTAATATTTCACTGAAAAACTGAGATACCACATAATCACTTTATACAGTAGAAATCAGAATGCATACTCATTACATTGTATTATATGGTGAATACACTGAAGTGTCTGTTATTGTTTACATTGTAAACAGGTAAATAACTATGTAATTTTTGTAAGCAATGTAATAAGATGTCTTAGTTGATACATTCATAATGCAAAGACATCAATTTGAATATATGAAATGATAATTCAGATGTCTAATAATGATTCAAATAAAAATAAAATGAAAATTGAATTAAATGTGGCTAACAATTTCTTTCCTAACAAGTGGTCACATATATGAAAGTAAACAATTCATGTTTCTGATGCCTGTATCTGACCTTGACCTTTCTTGTTTACAGCAGCGTTTGCGGTGGAGCCCCAGAAGGAGCGGGTATTCCGGGAGAGGGAGGGGCTGCCCCTACGGCGTGGGGCTATGCGAAGACGGGTACACCAGGTTCATGGACACAAGTTTATGGCCACACTCTTCAGACAACCCACGTTTTGCTCATTATGTAGAGACTTCATATGGTGAGCAGTCACTCCACAAACAATCTTGAATGACCATCTGAGTAACCCTGATTCAGAATCTTGACATTTAACATAAAAAACCTTAAGAATGATGTCAACTTATCATATCACTTACTGTAAAATCATTCATTTTTGTGTTGGATTCATTTTTGTTGAATTTGTGGGAACTTTTAATCCATGAATTTATTCCAGGAGATAATGAACAAATAAAAATTGGCATTCATTATTGTACAAGCGGATTGCTTGGCAAGATTTAAGCATGACATCAAGTGCCAACAAAAATGCATATATTTGGAAGACCACAAAATTTGAGTCTTTCAAAAATAAATGATTTTTATAACACGAAATTTTGATACAAGGAAAAAGCTATATCCTTAAACAATTGATTATACTTTTGAATCTACTGGGTATGTATGGTTTGTAAAATTATTAAGGATATGTTACTGATGAAGAAACAAAAACTCTTCTCATTTTTTGTAACTTGATTTATCTTATAGGACTTAAACTGAAGAGATGATAGGGTAGTACAATTATATACCTGCAATTTGAGTGAACATGATCCTGTCTAAGTGTCTGTTTCATTATGTGGTAGGAAACAGGCTTTTTTGTGCAGTAAGGTCTTTCAACCGTAACACATGTTGTGTAATACTGTATATTTATGTGTAGTAATTAATACACAGAGACAGTTTAGTGCGATATTGTATGAGTATGTAGTCGTGCTGGTTGACCAAGCTCCTGGAATCTGGATGGGATGTTACTGTCTATAGGAGTTGATGTACTGTTAAAGATCAGTTTTGATGCATGCAACACCCCACTCCCTCTACACAAACACACATACATAAAACACACATCATATTCTAGTTCATACCCACATGACCTCTGTATTATCCCAGCTCTTATACTGAGATGTTGTAGTTTTAGGAATTGGTCATCATTGTGAGTTAGTCTTAAAAAGATTATATAATAGCTGCCTGTTTAGGGTGACACATTTTTACTGGTTACCTGGATGGTTGCTATACACAGCTTTCACTTACTGTATAATCATATATTTTTGTGGATTCAAATTTTGTGGTTTTACAAAAACATGCATTTTCGTTGACACTTGATTACATGGATAATTCTGTGGATATGCCAGAACATTATCTGTTATATTAGGGAATTGTTTTGTCTGTTTGGTAAAGTGTAATGCCTTGGAATGAGCTAATCAGCTTTTCATCCATTCCAGGGGACTATGGAAACAAGGGTATCAGTGCCAAGGTAAGTACTAAAGTTGACTCAAGTTTTATTTATACTAAATAAGCCCAAGGGGCCAGACGTCCTGACTTCAAGACTTAACGCCAGGAGTTGTGCTTATTAGAGGACAATAAACTAAGAGGACCTAGACAAAACTGATTCAGTCAGGGGTATGCTTATTAAGGGTAGTAAGCCCAGGAGGCCAAACATGCTTACTCAATTTACGGAGGTATGCTTGTTACAGGACAATAAAAAAGTTAATACTTCTACTGAAAATTACTAGATATGGGTGGGCTTATTACCAGACATGGGGATATTTGCTGGTAAATTTGGGTAAGTACAGTATGTAACCCAATATACAGTTAAGTTCTGCTGAAGGTTTTAGATAAAAAATCTGGAAGATAAAAATGAAAAAGTATTTATAAAAATGATAATTTAGATATGAAAGAATTAAATAAATATTTTTTATATGAAAGACTTAGATAAATAATTTAAACATTTGGAGAATTTGATACGAGATTATACATCTACAGAGCCACAACCTCGGCTACTTTGGGTGATCCCATGTATGTGTAGATGTTGTTTTGATAATTCATTAAGAACATCCTAAATAGAAAAGGTATTTGTCTTCAAGATTCTGTCTTTGTCTGTTACAGTTTGGTACACAGAATATTGATATGTCCTGACAGTAGTCACTAAATAATTTCATCTCTACAGCTATTGGATTATACACTAGAGTATAGGTAAAATTTATTTATATCTAAGGAACAGACAAAAAGAAATTTTTGAATTGTAGGCAAAATTTTCTCCAACAAAGGGAAGTTATTACTTGTCGGCGCGACCTAGGATGGTCAATAATTTATAGATTTTTTCACCGGCATGCTTGATTTTGCTCTCTATTTTTCAGTGTGTACATGTGTAGTTCACAAAAGATGTCACCAACATGTTGTCACAAAGTGTCCGGGATCCAAAGACTCGGCACCAGAGGAGGTAAGTGTTACAATACCACACTTTGGGACTTGGAACTCCCAGTGTCAAGGAAAGTTAGTATTTCAAGGCAAGTTCATGCTAAAGAGGAAGATGACATAACACTTTCAAGTCCGAAATATAACATGAAGTCTTAAGCTTAAGCTGTTTGATTTCATTTAGGAAATTATTGCATGTTTTATCAGAATTAAGTGTACTAGTGAACATTATGATATCACAATGTGGTACAATCACTGTTTGAGTTAATACTAGTGATGAAGAGTACATGTAGACTTATAACAAAGGTGTCAGCTTATCCACTAGGTTTTAGGAAACAATTTTGAACATCATAAAGATAGAATATTTCATGATGTTTATAAATGTTGATTCTTTTCAGACATCGGGTACAAGATTTAATATAAATATACCACATAGGTTTAGCGTACATAATTACAAGCGACCAACATTTTGTGATCACTGTGGGTCCTTGCTGTATGGACTGTTTAGACAGGGACTTCAGTGCGAGGGTGAGTGTAAAACCTTACAATCTTCAACATGTGCAACAGATACAGTCTCGTGTCTGTTACAGTCCTATGAATGACATATCCTCTGATTACTATCAGTCATAGTAAGTGAAACTAAATACACTTGTGAACTGACTCTGATAGAACAAAATTGATGATTTTCCAACTATCAAAGTGGAACTTGATACATAGACATATTATAGTCATATGAATTCCATATCTAAGAAACTGCCTTGCCTATATAAATGATCTGGAAAATGGGTAGCATTCCCGGTCAGAAAATGTAAATTTTTTCTAACTCAAACATTTTTTCCAAATTTCACTCAAGATATTACAAAATCTTCCCAAATTAGACTTGATTGGTAACTCTCAAAATAGTAAGGAAAGTTATATGTCTCTTACATATTTAACCCTACTCAAACTAATATTCTTTCACACAAATAAAACATATTGTGAAAGATCAATGTGATATAAAGTCTGCATGGTAGTTTCTTAAACAATCCTAGTAAATGGAATTATTATAAAAACAGAACAACAGAAAGATCTATTTTATGAATTTTTTTAGCATTTCTCAGTATGTTTATACTTCTATTTTTACAGCTTGTAAATTGAATGTTCACAAACGTTGTCAGAAAAATGTGGCAAACAACTGTGGCATCAATACACGAGACATGGCACAGATCCTTCAGGAGATGGGCATCACATGTGACAAACTGTCTCAAAAACCAAAAAAGGTAAGCTGTACATGTCATCAGTTATCTCAGAAACCAAGATTTACATTAGGGCTGTCATGGGTACACAATTTTCAACCCAGGTACTTGATCATTGAAACTCGACCCATACCCGGTTACCCACAAGTTTTAGGAATGTGATCACAACAAATTCATGGTATTAGTCATAAATGCTGATTTTTCAAGCATTATCGGGAAGCTAACATGATTTAGACACACCTAGTAGTCCGGACGTTATTGACTATGTCGGGGGGAAAATGACTTCAAAGTATTTCTGACTTTTTAGAGTTACAATTATCATATACTTTGATCAGGGAAGTCATGTTATTTGGTTGACAATGGTTAGTTTGTGTACCTGAACAAAAAATCTACAGAATGAAGTCTGATAATGTAACACCATAGTAGGCCTACACATAACACAAGACAACGATACGATGTGTAAAATAGAGTGCAGAAGGACGCAGATTGACACTTCATATTTTTATTCCATTTAATAAAAAAAAACCCTACAAACACAATACACAAAGAATCAAGCAGATATCACAGATATTACTAATCCTTACATGATGTACATGATGTGCTCAGTGAATACATATTTCATATGTTATCACGCTAAAACTATTCAAAGAAAAACAAGAATAATAATCTATCTTTACAATGAATACTTTTATCATCATAAATATTTATCTTAGAATAGAAAATGCTTATACATTGTTACTATAATATATATATATCATATTCATAATTGACTACAATCAGTAAAATACACATGTACCTACCCCAACTATGGGTCGGGGGTTTCACAGAAGAACTTCTGTACAAAGACTTGTTAATTTACGTACATGGATTATCTGTAAAAGATACATACCAACACTGAACTGAACGTTTATTCATGAGAGACAAGTCAATCAAAAACTTGAATCATATATCAGTTCAAGGTATCGTAAACATGTATGTATACCTTGTGTATATTGAGGAATTCCAAGCTTTATGTCAAGGCTGATGCATGTTTCTCAGCCATAAGAAAATGTCAATGTCTATGCAACAAAGTAGCTGTTCATATAGCAGATATATATGTTTACATGTATATTAAACATTGTTTCTTATCGACAGACAACCGACAAGAGCATAGAGGTACTTGAAATAATTTTATTGAGAACTTTACAATAGTACGAAGTAATACTGACTCGAGTAATCGAGTACACATTTTCCATCCCTGGTTGGGATTGAAACCAACCCAAAACAGGTGACCTGGGTACTCTTTACATCCCTAATACATGGTATTTAATTTGCATTTATATATATATATGTAGTTAATTTTTTTTTTTTTTTTTTTTTTTTGTTGCTCATAAATATTTGTATACCTGATAATCCTGTCAATCAGTTATGATGACCTTGCAAAATCTTTGATCTTTCCTCGAAAAAAAAGAAGAAGAAAAGAGAGATCATACAGTTATGGACCTGGTAATGTGTGCACTCTCCAATTTGGACCTTTCATTAAACAAACAAAAAAATAAACAAAAATATGCACTTTACCCACAGGTTTTTATGGTAGCAAAATAAACCATTTATAGTTTATCATTGAGTTTTGTTCTGGGTTCAATATCCAAAACCAATGCCAGGGGCAATCTTTTGATTTAGAACTTTAAATTGTTCCTGAGAACATTTTGCACAAATTTCAGATTTGGTCATTAATAGTTATCTTCTATCAAAGTGTTAGATTGTTTTGCATTTGGTGGGTTATATCTGTCATTGAAAGTTACAAATATACATTATCAACATGTAAAGCCTTTCAGTAATAATAATACTTTTTGAATTTTTTTTTTATTTAAAAAGAAATATTGTTGTGACAGTTAGTGACATCCTGACTCAAACATTTGGAGTGATCTATCTTTTCTAAGCAGAAAGTCTAAATTTTTCTTGTGTTTTTGCAGGCACCGATAGCACCAGATTCTCCACATAAAGGGGGTTCTTCAGAAAATAATCTGCCTGTGATACCAGGTAAGTCCACATATAAGGTTTTCTGCAGATAAGTATCTCTCTGCAGAGAAGTTCAGTTAAGTAAGGAAATAACATAAATATAGATAGAAATCTTATCTATTTTACAACAATAGTGAAACAATCTATCAGTTTATGTTATTCACTTTTGTTGGCCGGGATAGAAGTGCACAGAGGTCTTAATGTGGGTGGAAACTGCCAATACCTTTTTCATATTTGTTCTGGGAATCAAACCCTGGGTGGTGAGTGCGTTGCTACTGCGCCACCTGACTTGGAGGTCTGCCGCCATGGATCACTTACGCTTTTCAGATAATGATAATTCAGTGATACCAAGTAATTTTTCATGAAGGAGACTTTACAGAGAATAATCTTTTCACGATTCCAAGTAAGTTGATACAAAAATGGATTTACAGAATATAGTTTATCTTCCATCCCAGATCTGAATGTAGTAGTGATATCTATACCTAGGGTTCTGATCTGATGTTGTTGTGGTTGTGTCGTTCAGCAAGATACTTAACCCTTGTTGCTCTGGATGGGGCCTCTTGCATGGTGTTCAGTCTGATTTGCTGACCTCAAAATGATTCTGGCCATTCACTAGGCAATTAACTTAAAAAAATAAATAATGTAAGGTAGAAATCAAATTATTCATGTACTACAATCTTATTTCAGACTCTGATGGGCAAGGTAAACTCTCGGATGACAGGTCAAATAGAGGAAGGAGTCCTTCACAAGATCGCTCACAGCGAAAACGAGCTGACAAGTACTCTCAGTCAGATTTTCGTTTTATTAAAGTTCTAGGGAAAGGGAGTTTTGGTAAAGTAAGTTGAAAGTGATGTTGTAGTTTTAGATACATAACTGTCTTATAGCATATCGTTTCATACATGAAAATAATTTTACAAGTTTATATTAAGCCTAAATGTAATGCAGTAACTGCTTTTGCCTTTTGTCACAGCCCCAGTAAGTGGATCATGTTGCCAATCCTACCTTTCTGATTCGTCCAAACTTTGCAACTATTTACCTGTGACTTCTAGTGGCAGTCATATGCTATAAATAATTTTAAAGACAATGTTATGGATGCATATGGTCACAATGAGACATGCAAATATCATGACACTAGAAACTCAACCAAAGTGACAGGCTAGGTGTTTCTAACACTACTCAGATTGAGAGTGTGTCAATCCCAAACTGGTATTACTGTGGTGTGTTGTGTGTTTTACTTACGAGTAGCAGGGCAGTGTGTTCTTGTTGTTAGTAGTATATATAATACTTAAAGATCTCAGGTCTTATATTCAAATAAAATTATGTACTACGTACCAAACTAGGTAATTACAATCTCTGTGAGTGAAGTTTTCTTTCATGTTTCTCTACACACTTTAATAAGATAATCCCACCAAGACTACGCCTATTGTAAGAGTCCTAGGTATTGTTCATATATAAAAATTTTTGATAAACAATAAATCTGCATTCTGCATACTAATATATGTCAACCCTAACTTCCATTGATACACAAGCAGACATGAGCTCATGGCTTCTTTGTTGCGATATCCAATGTGAAGGAAAAAAATGAAACTTTCATTCTCCACAATTGAGCATGGAAGATTTTCCAAAAATAATCATAATTATGTAACATATTTTTCAATGTCAAATTAGGCCACTTTCTGTACTGATTAGTAGTTTCCTTCATGTGATTGACTATATCTCACATTTAAAGTTACAAATATATATATATATATCATCAACATGTTGAGTCTTTCAATAATCTCAGTACTTTGATTTAAAATATGTTTCAGCCAATTTTTTATCAACCTTAATGCTTTACACACTATACTGAATGACCTTAAATTAAAGTTTAAAAAATGACCACCATTGAAAATACCATCTTGTTTGGTTGGGGTAAATGAACTTTGATTACATTTGTTTTGAAATAGTGTTCAATTCTTTATGAGATTTTAATTTTCAATATTCCAGGTAATGTTAGCAGAAAAAATAGGTACGGATGAAGTATATGCAGTAAAGGTCCTTAAAAAGGATGTAATTATACAGGATGATGATGTAGAATGTACCATGACAGAAAAACGAATCTTAGCATTGTCCGCCAAACATCCCTTCCTCACAGCGCTTCACTCTTGCTTCCAGACTAAGGTACCAATCTTTAATAAGCATCGATAAATCTGAGTCCTGACTCCTGTACTCATAGAATTTTGATGGGACTCGTAGAATTTCTGGAAATTCTTAAATTTGACATTTTGGGACCCATTTTTTTTTAGCAATAAAGTTAATAAGGACTATGAAAATAAACTGTAGATTGATCACTGAATGTGCTGTTTTCAGATTGTCGATATCCTCTTTAAATTATTTTTTTATTAATGAAACAAAAATTTAAACAGTACTTCATCATTTTGAAAATTCTGTCTGATAATGTTTATACAGGGGAATATTTAGATGTTTGTGTTTATGTTCTCCAGTAGAAGAATGGAGTTAGGTATATTATAATGTGTTATATTGTGTTAAAGTTTTCTGAAAGGACTGAGGGCTCATTACCACCTTTGTTTTCTATTCCAGGACCGACTTTATTTTGTGATGGAATTTGTAAATGGGGGAGATCTAATGTTCCAAATTCAAAGATCCCGCAAATTTGATGAACTTCGTGCACGATTTTACGCAGCTGAAGTGACACTTGCCCTGAGGTTTCTTCACCGACATGGTATTATATATAGGTGAGTCAAATTCCTCTCTTGTGAAAAAATATACCAATTGGATGAATATATTAAAATTCCTTAATGTTATATTGTAACTATTGAATAAACCTATCATAACTTATTTTCTCTTTTCATTTCTTACACATTGAAAATTCTGTTTAGGAATGTTTCAGCCATGGTCTGTACAACTAGTTTTGTCTCTGTTTCATACATCTTTTTTTTACATTGGTAATCATATAGATGCAAAAATATGTACATAATCAGTACCTGTTACTTTTGTTTTCCAGAGATCTGAAATTAGATAACATTCTACTGGATGCTGAAGGCCACTGTAAGATAGCTGATTTTGGGATGTGTAAGGAAGGAATGTTTGAAACAAAATTAACACAGACATTCTGTGGGACCCCTGATTATATAGCCCCAGAGGTAGGTTTATAATATGGATCAGTCAAGATCCCTTTTAACAAGGGAATGCCTATGTTTTTGCTACCAAATTGTTTTGAGAGTTATATATTTTATAAGGAACTACCTTGTTCGTATTTGATTTACTTAGAAATTAGTGGAGAATAAATAATCTTTAACAAAGGTATAAATCATATTATTATATTTCATAACCCAATAAAACTTGTGTTTGATATGCTTTCTTGTATGCAGGAAAAGTAAATTGACTGTGATTGAGGTTACATAGAGTTACTTGCCTTGTAATTATTCAAAGTTTGACAGAGTTGTCCCCCTTGTATGCATGATGTGAGACAAGCTGTGTTTTCCTTCTTGTAGATCCTGCAGGAGTTGGAGTATGATGCCTCTGTTGATTGGTGGGCACTAGGTGTCCTCATGTATGAGATGATGGCTGGCCAGCCTCCCTTTGAGGCAGATAACGAAGAAGATCTGTTTGAGTCCATTCTCCATGACGATGTACTTTATCCAGTATGGCTCAGCAAGGAGGCTGTAACTATTCTGAAAGGAGTAAGCATATGGGATAGGATGAATCACATTTAGATAGGGGCAGGCTTACATTTCACATTGAAAAGCCTTGAGACCTTTGGAAAAAACAGTTGTATTTCTCATTGAATATCTCTAAGAAAAACATAATAGGTTATACCAAGCTCATTAACATCAGAGTACATCCAGAATCATTTTGTCAGGTAGTCAACAATGATGTCATTGTTCACTTAACATTAGAGTACACCCAGAATCCTTTGTCAGGTAGTCAACAGAGATGTCTTTATTCACTAAACATCAGAGTACATCCAGATCATTTGGAAACTTAAAAATATTTTCATTCTTATTTTTGTCACCAGTTTATGACCAAAAATCCAGCCAAACGACTTGGCTGTGTAAGATCTCAAGGTGGAGAGAAAGCAATCCTAGATCATCCATTCTTCCTGGACAAGATTAACTGGGAGGGGCTAGAGCAGAGGAAAGTCAAACCACCATTCAGACCCAAAATTGTAAGTATAGTATTACCTGTGGAGCGATATTTGAGACACAAGATTTCAAGTATTAACTTGTCTTAACCTGTGTCGTTTCACCAAGTTATCAATACTGTACGATATATCTCAACCTGGAATTAGACCCTAGATATAGCAGCATCCAGGCCGCAAACCATGATGACACAGCACTCCTAAGAAAATTAGTATCATGATCAAGAAATGGATTTTGTCTTAATATGAGTTTGGCTGTGAAAATTGATTTTTATCATATTTAGAAACAAATAAGTGTTTATGTACATAAAGGTCAACTCTGCACAAATAAATAATTCGACAGTAGGCTACAGGGACATGTTTGTAATTTGTCAATAGGGGGTAAAGAAAGTGCATATTAAAAAAGAATAATTCACTCATTTTTGGCAATAAATGAGACATCATCAGGAATTAAACATATTCAGCTTCAGTAGATCACAGTATGCAGCTACAGTCTACAAACATGGCTTAATTGTCTGACCAGACAGTCAGTGATACCCTTTGTTGGTGCATTTTTAAATGCAAAGATATTTGAGGCTTCTTTAAATATTTTTTCATGTATTGCTCAGATGGAGTACTAAACTAGATTCATAAACGAATATGTAATTCAGTAAAGTATCCTTCAGGCTTTCCATTATGTATGGTTAATGTTTCCTGCCCATGACAGTTTTTGTTTCTCAGAAAGCTAAGAAATTGACTATTTAGTGCTGCTGTAATTGTGTCATTGGGCAATATACTTAATGGCAATTCTCTGACTGGCATGCAACGGGTCTCCATTGTGTTGTTCAGTCAGGTAGTCACCAGCTGCTACAAGGAAAATCTGCTTCAAAATGACCCTGGCTATTAATTGGGCGATTATCACAGTTACCATTATTCATTGAAGGGATGATGTAAATTTCATAAAAAGAAGGTAAAAGAACTCAGGAAAGTTTTAAAGATTAAATGGCAATTACAAACTATTCTGTTTCTTTTACAGAAATCAAAGACAGATGCTAACAATTTTGACAAAGACTTCACATCAGAAGAGCCGGCATTGACCCCTGTTGACCCATCTGTTGTCAAGGCCATTAACCAAGAAGAGTTCCGGGGGTTCTCGTTTATTAACCCAGACTATGGAAAAGTATTTCAGTCCTCGGATATCCATTGACCGACGTCTCATTGCTGAGGGACAGATTGTGTTTTATCCTTTATCCCTTCCCCATATGCCCGTAACTCCCTACCCTTCCAGAATTACAACCTAGGTGAATAATGCTATTTCCATGTCTTTCTACATCTATAGTCCTGTGAGGTATGTAACAAACAGCTGTCCAGTCTGTTGAGCCCTCTCCTGTATAAATCACAAGCACATATGTTTTTATTGAGGAAGGTTGTTATCAGTTAGACTGATTAGTATATATTTAAGTTCACTACTGTTGGTGGGGTACTGATAATCTAAAGAGAAACATGACTTGAAAAATTAATTGGAATTAGAAAATTTGTTACTATAGTAATCTTTTTATTGTTTTAAACCAAAAAAAATGTGCTGTTAAGTAGATTATACAAGGTAAATTCTAAATATTTATTGAATTCAACCTTTATTGTAGCTCGAGAAACAAATTGTATCGTTCCATTCTGTAGCCAGTCAAAAGTGCAGGGTCACAGTTCAGTCAATTCATAATTCTTTGCCATTATTAATTAATTTAGAAAATTTCTTCCAATTTTGAATGCTTGGCTGGAGCCAATCAAAATACAGAATGATAAGTTCAGGTGTGAATGATGATAAAGATTTGCTTATGATCATGTTAAACATTATTTTGAATCTATAAAGTTAATATGAATTAGACCTAGGAAACTTAATTACTATATGTTAATACTCAGTTTACCTGACACAGATTTTGTCACCATGGACCTCAGTTTATAGATGGCATTATGTTTCAGGTTTTTTTTTTAATTTTTGATTGATATTATTTACACTTCAGTTGAGGCTATTGGAGTTCTGTTGATGTAGGTACTGACAGTGTTTATTCTGTTGTTTTTTCAGGCCAAGTATTGTCTGAAGTTATTATATTTAGTTGTGTGATGTTTGCTTGCATCTAACAGATAAGAAGTAAGTGCTACTATCAGATATACCAGTTAGAAAGAAGAATAGAAACATATGTGCTAGTGAAATATACCAGAGTGCTGACATTTTTTTTTTTATTAAATCATGTCATTGGTCCCATTTTAACTAGTGATAATTATGTATAGAAATCTAGTTTAATGAGTGCTTCTTTATGACACAGATTTCCTGTAGAACATGAATGTGTTTGTAAGGCAGGCATGGACAACAGACGTAAAAATAAAATCGGATGTAGCACTTTTTTCTCCATTGGACAAGTGGATAGCCTGTGTTTCCTATTTTGGCCTGGTGTACGCATTTGTGTCTCATCCATGTTACTCGAGTGTCCATCTGGATTAGCTGAGAGAGAGTGTGATAAATGGATTGTGCATTGATTTATGTTGGCTTTCTTATAAAATAAGGCAGACAGAAAGCTATGATCATTGTTTTACAGTATTTCTACTCATTTAACAACACTCATCAGTGAAGCGGCCATCTTGGATATTGTAGGGCTATTGATTGCTTACATTTCATCTGGATTACTACCATTCGTCTACTGTATGATGAACATATTTTGGGTTAATTTTGCATATCATCCCATTTTATTATTACAGTGTGTCTACAGTCACAGGAGATCAGTGTGCATTCCTCTATCATTTTGTAAGCTGACCTCCCTCATTAGGGAGAGAACAGACATAGAACTACTCAGAACAAATGTTTACAACATGTAGATAAATTTCATGGATGAATGATAATTATTTAAATACATAAAAATGTTTTTCTTCTAGAGGTTGAGTGATTTGACTTTAGTTTCCTTAGTTTGTCAGTCAGTTCATTGATAGACACCAATGATTATCAGTGTTTGCAGTGGACATAAGCAGACCAGCCATAAACGGGTGTGAGGTCACAGTAGAGAGGTTGTACAGTAGCTCATGAGATAAAGGTTGGTCAGATTCACTGGGATGGAAGTTGGTCAAGTCCTCATAGGATGGAGCTTGGTCAGGTCCACATGGGATGGAGGTTGATCATGTCCACCTTGGATGGAGTTTGGTCAGGTCCACATTGGATCAAGGTTGTAAATGTTCAGATGGGATGGAGGTTTGTCAGGTCCTTATAGAATAAAGTTTGGTACAGTCCAAATGGTAAGGGGGTTTGTCAGGTCATTAAGGGATGGAGATTGGTCAGGTCCACATGGGACAGAGGTTAGTCAGTGCACATATTTGACCTGTTTTATTGAATCTTTGGTATTTATGCTATTTGTAAGTAATAACTAAAATCAGTTTCCTATGTTAACTTTTGGTATTCCCAAAATTATTATAAAAATAGAGTTTTCAGTTACATGATCAAGATTTTGTTTTCACATGATTTTCTTTTATTAATTAAGAACTTTGGAAACTTAATTAAGGATCAGTTAAATCAATTGTACCTAGCAAGGCATGAATGAGATTAGAAAGAATATCCATATTATCTGACTAGGTGTGTAGAATGAAATATCTATAACCTGGCTAGGTGTGTAGAATGAGATATCTATAACCTGGCTAGGTGTGTAGAATGAGATATCTATAACCTGGCTAGGTGTGTAGAATGAGATATCTATAACCTGACTAGGTGTGTAGAATGAGATATCTATAACCTGGCTAGGTGTGTAGAATAAGATCTGTATTACCTGGTTAGGTGTGTAGAATGAGATATCTATAACCTGACTAGGTGTGTAGAATGAGATATCTATAACCTGGCTAGGTGTGTAGAATGAAATATCTATAACCTGGCTAGGTGTGTAGAATGAAATATCTATAACCTGACTAGGTGTGTAGAATGAAATATCTATAACCTGGCTAGATGTGTAGAATAAGATCTGTATTACCTGACTAGGTGTATAGAATAAGGTCTATTACCTGACTAGGTGTATAGAATAAGATCTGTATTACCTGGCTAGGTGTATAGAATAAGGTCTGTATTACCTGACTAGGTGTATAGAATAAGATCTGTATTACCTGGTTAGGTGTGAATGAGATCTGTATTACCTGACTAGGTGTGTAGAATAAGATCTGTATTACCTGGTTAGGTGTGAATGAGATCTGTATTACCTGGCTAGGTGTATAGAATAAGGTCTGTATTACCTGACTAGGTGTATAGAATAAGATCTGTATTACCTGGTTAGGTGTGAATGAGATCTGTATTACCTGACTAGGTGTGTAGAATAAGATATGCATTACTTGGCTAGGTGTGTATAATGAGATCTGTGCCTGGCTAGGTGTGAATGAAAAATGGAATAAGATCTGTATTACCTAGCTAGGTGTATAGAATAAGATCTGTATTACCTGACTAGGTGTATAGAATAAGATCTGTATTACCTGACTAGGTGTATAGAATAAGATCTGTATTACCTGGCTAGGTGTAGAGAATAAGATCTGTATTACCTGGCTAGGTGTAGAGAATAAGATCTGTATTACCTGGCTAGGTGTATAGAATAAGATCTGTATTACCTGGCTAGGTGTATAGAATAAGATCTGTATTACCTGGCTAGGTGTATAGAATAAGATCTGTATTACCTGGCTAGGTGTATAGAATAAGATCTGTATTACCTGGCTAGGTGTATAGAATAAGATCTGTATTACCTGGCTAGGTGTATAGAATAAGATCTGTATTACCTGACTAGGTGTATAGAATAAGATCTGTATTACCTGGCTAGGTGTAGAGAATAAGATCTGTATTACCTGGCTAGGTGTAGAGAATAAGATCTGTATTACCTGGCTAGGTGTATAGAATAAGATCTGTATTACCTAGCTAGGTGTATAGAATAAGATCTGTATTACCTGGTTAGGTGTGTAGAATAAGATCTGTATTACCTGGCTAGGTGTATAGAATAAGATCTGTATTACCTGGCTAGGTGTGTAGAATAAGATCTGTATTACCTGGCTAGGTGTATAGAATAAGATCTGTATTACCTGGCTAGGTGTGTAGAATAAGATCTGTATTACCTGGCTAGGTGTATAGAATAAGATCTGTATTAACAGGCTAGGTGTAGAGAATAAGATCTGTATTACCTGGCTAGGTGTGTAGAATAAGGTCTGTATTACCTAGCTAGGTGTATAGAATAAGATCTGTATTACCTGACTAGGTGTATAGAATAAGATCTGTATTACCTGGCTAGGTGTAGAGAATAAGATCTGTATTACCTGGCTAGGTGTATAGAATAAGATCTGTATTACCTGGCTAGGTGTAGAGAATAAGGTCTGTATTACCTAGCTAGGTGTATAGAATAAGATCTGTATTACCAGGCTAGGTGTGTAGAATAAGATCTGTATTACCTGACTAGGTGTATAGAATAAGATCTGTATTACCTGACTAGGTGTATAGAATAAGATCTGTATTACCTGACTAGGTGTATAGAATAAGGTCTGTATTACCTGGTTAGGTGTGTAGAATAAGATCTGTATTACCTGGCTAGGTGTGTAGAATAAGGTCTGTATTACCTGGCTAGGTGTATAGAATAAGATCTGTATTACCTGACTAGGTGTATAGAATAAGGTCTGTATTACCTGACTTGGTGTATAGAATAAGGTCTGTATTACCTGGCTTGGTGTATAGAATAAGGTCTGTATTACCTGACTAGGTGTATAGAATAAGATCTGTATGACCTGGCTAGGTGTGTAGACTAAGATCTGTATTACCTGGTTAGGTGTGTAGAATAAGATCTGTATTACCTGGCTAGGTGTATAGAATAAGATCTGTATTACCTGGCTAGGTGTATAGAATAAGATCTGTATTACCTGGCTAGGTGTATAGAATAAGATCTGTATTACCTGGCTAGGTGTGTAGAATAAGATCTGTATTACCTGGCTAGGTGTATAGAATAAGATCTGTATTACATAGCTAGGTGTATAGAATAAGATCTGTATTACCTGGCTAGGTGTGTAGAATAAGATCTGTATTAACAGGCTAGGTGTATAGAATAAGATCTGTATTACCTGGCTAGGTGTGTAGAATAAGATCTGTATTACCTGGCTAGGTGTGTAGAGTAAGATCTGTATTAACAGGCTAGGTGTATAGAATAAGATCTGTATTAC